TTTTTGATTTTACAGATTTGGTAACTTACATCCTCCGCCTCCTCCTCCGCATGGTGGTGGTGGTGGTGCGCATCCACCTCCTCCTCCACATCCTCCTCCTCCACCGCATCCTCCGCCTCCTCCTCCACCTGAAACTCGGAGAGACTTGATCAAACCAATTCATAAGAATCACTCACATCCTCCACCGCATCCTCCACCTCCTCCTCCACATGGTGGTGGTGGTGGTGGTGCACATCCACCTCCTCCTCCGCATCCTCCGCCGCCTCCGCCTGGAATAGTTTAATTAAAATCTGGAAGAATTCATTTTAGAAACTTACAGCCTCCTCCACATGGTGGTGGTGGCGGTGGTCCGCATCCTCCACCACATCCTCCACCGCCGCCGCATCCTCCTCCGCCTTAAAATATGACTTCTTAGAATCTGAGCCAGAATTTTCAACAACTTACAGCCCCCACCGCCTCCTCCAGCGGATGGGAACAAGAAGGCTGTCGCCACGGACAAACCGAGCAATAAGATGATGATCGACTTTCTCATCTGTAAAATGTATAGATTATAAGAACATTTTTGGGATTTCTTCGGCTTCAATTAGTAGAAGAAAAAGAGGAAAGACAAATGAAATGCCATGTGGTAGCATCGTGGTCCATCTTTTATACGCCCGTTATGGCCGAAAGGGGGCTGGATCCACTCAAAACGCTTCGTCGCCATGCAAAACCAGATCGGCAGCCATGCCGTTGCACGATAAGAAACCGTTGTTATTTTCATTTGAGGAAGAGATGATAACAGATCTACCAGTCACTTAGACACTGGTTTCGAAAGAGAAAGTCATTGACACATGGAAGATCTTCGTTGCGTAACTGAGATCCGATTCAAATCGATTATTTTATCCAAGTGTAAACTAATTATAGTTAGAGTTATTAAGACATGTGTGGTGATGAAAGTGAATGGACTGGTCGAATTACAGTGGTTAATGAATGAAAGTGGTTTTTTGATTTATGATTTGCTATATTATATGGAATTGTGTTTTGGTTTAGTCACAATTTGCGCTGGAATGCACTAACATAATTTCGGACTGGACGCTGAAATTTGGAATACCGAATTGATATTTTCTAATTTGACAGTAAACCACAAGCTAGCAAAAATTTTAGATTTAGAAAATTCGCGATGGGGCTGCGTGACGCATGTTCCAGTACTACCATAAAACCAATTTATAGTCATTATTCAAAACTTAGACTCTTCTTATAAGGTCAGAATTCACTTTGGCACAATTTGGGGAAAATTTTTAAATTAAATTTCAAAATGATTTCACGTCTTGGGATGAAGGTTTCAATTGATCTATTACAATTTAATTTAATTTGAAAAATCACTTTTAAAATTGTGGAGCAATCAAAACCAGAAAACACTGTAATTGACCTAACGATGGTTTTTTTTTCCGGAAAGCTCCAGCTGGGAACCTGCAAACGCATGGGAACTCTACGACGACACAACTACTATCTTAAATCACTTTGCATAAACTTCAAAGAAATTTTTTCAAACTTGAAAATCAACTATTAACATGTGGTCCGAATAATTCTCTTGTAAGGAATTCAGCAAATTACTCAAGTTTGGTCTAAACTTAAGTGTGGTACAAAACCCATGTTTGGTCCAAACAGTGTTTGTTTATATTTTCGTGGTGGGACCCGTAATTATTTTTTTCCGAATATAATTTTCATACTCAGTTTGAAGCTCAGTTTTTCGAAAATCGACCGATATTCTTTCATGTTCTTCTAGATTGATACATGTCGTGTGTCAGAAGTTTCAATACCCTTTGCTGTATTTAAATAAAATTGAACTCTATATATCCCTAACATAATCCTTGAACATCATTTTGACAAGATTTTTCTGACTTCAAAGTTATGTCATAATACGGACTACATCAACGACACTAATCCTATTTCATACATCTCCATTTCATTTCTAATATCAGTTCCATTTTTTTTTCTTTCACTAAGTCTCCGTTTTCTTTTTTTGTATCTCAACTTTCCATTCCATTTCCATTTTGAATGGCAGATGAGCCCTCTTTCGGTAGTTGGAGTAGAAGAGCACTTCAAACTCAATCAACTTTTTTTTCATTTTCTCTCACACCACCTCCCGGAGTAGAAGGTCGTCCTTCTTTTCCTAATATCCCTCCTGAATTCTCTGCAAAAAAACTGAAAATATCTGGAAATTCAGGAATTCCTAATAAGTTTATTTGTGTTTGTGTTCATTTTTTTTCCTGGGAAAAATGTCCCAAAGACCAAGACAGGAAGAGTTGAAGAGAAAAATGCTAGACAAAAAGGAGACAACCAATTTGCTTCTTTTCTCTATTTAGTTGTCCCTGTTTCCTTCTTCTTGTCATATGTTATGTTTTTGGTTCAAAACCACTTATTGGTCCGTACTTTACCCCAAAATATGAGCAAGAAGCATAAGATCTTTTGAATCAGATGACTACTATTCCGTTGGGAGCTGCTGATCCTAAACTGCCACTACTAAAAAACACTATAAATAAAGTATTCATGGTCCATTTATGGATGGCGACGACCAAACACAATCGCTTCATTTGAAGAGAGAGAGAGAAAACGTCTTTCCTTTTTCATTTCTAGCGTCATTTCTGAGATCTCGATATCATTTTTAAAGGAAAATATCTGATTTTTCTAATTTCTGACTGTAGGTCAGAGCATCTTTTTGAAGTTTCGGAATCCCTGAATTTTATCTGTTTTCAAAAATCGGATATTCGAAATTTACTGAATATTCGAAGATTGGTATATCAGAAAACTCCGAATTTAAAAGAAATCGACGTTTCGGAATATGTTGAATGTTCAGGATTATCGCTACATGAACACTCTTTAAGGACCTGACTTCTTTCTAATTGTAAGGAGCAAAATTTTTAGGACCAGAGTTTCATACTAGAGGCCGAAATTTTTCGCTCGGAATATTTGGGTCAGGATTTTTGTAATCCCGTGTTCTGTTCCCTTCTGTAGGACCAAGTAGGACACGGCTCATCAGATTAAATTTGGTCTATACTGATCTTTTGTAACGCGAAAAAGTTTTATGAACATTCATCATAGCATTTTAGTTTCAGTAAAATTTTTTGAATTAGCTCCTCTATAAATATTGCGAGAAAACTGTTATAAGTGATAACTTAATTATTTAAAAGTTGAGTTACTTCAAGTATATTTTAGGACTAAAATTTCCCGACTTAAATATTCGATAAAGTTCAAAGTTTGAAAAAATGAAGCAATAACTTCTCCGTTCATATTAGCCTCTAGAGGAGTTGAACTTGAGGGCCTACCGCTGAAGGTGCCACGCAGCTACCAGCTGAGCTACGATGGGTAAAGCTGTGACGGCACCTTAACTCTTTTTAAAAATTCTCCTGTCCCCCCGAATAGCCTATCTTTTCAGTTTTTCCGATATATTATCAGGCCTAATGAACATCTCGGTCACCAACTAAAACAGATTAAATAACTCATATGCAGGTCATGTGCCAATATATCTTTATCCCAGTTTATCTTCTACGTCTTTTCATCTCAAAACTCTTAATCTTGTTTCCCTCACAATTCCTTTAATAACCCATTTTCCAGTACACCCTCCCCCTTCCTTCCGTTCACTATCACAAATACATAATGAGCAGCAAGAGCCGTAAGCTGAGCCACAACAATAATAATAACTCGTCGTCCTCTTCCTCGAATACGACCTCACAAGTGATAACAGGAGGCGGAGGGGGAGGAGGAGGAGCGTCTAGTGGACTTGGTTTGACAACTCCAACGGGCGGAGCCCCTCAGCGTGGAGGTTCGTTATCATTGAGTGTTGAACAAACGAGGAGCCGCCCGTTTTCAAGAAGCAGCTTCATGTTAAGATACAAAGGGGATAAGTCTGGAAAGAATCACAATGTCATCGATGCCATCAGAGTGAGTCGTTGTTTTTTTGGGTTCTTCTAAATTTTACCTAGGATATTTTGTTGACTTCATCAAAACCGGGTTCCTTAGAACTTATAAGGACGTGATCTATGAATCTCAATAAGCCGCTCATCTAATTACGTCTCCTATAGACCTCCAACCCTCGAATTCTTCACTAATGAGCTTCTTATGAAACTCGTGCGGCAGCCATAGCAACATGATTCAACTGGAGTCTCACCACATTTCGAAAGTTTTGTTTTCTTTGGGACACAAAGCTTTGAAGATTGTTTTTGGTGTTAGTCATATGTGTTTTTTCTCAAGGCCATGTGGAACAAATTCTCGGTAGAACTAACTTCCCATGTACCCCTCTCTAGTATTTTGACGGAGTACTTTCAGTTCTTTTTGGATTTTTCTGATTCCAGATGTCGTAAATGCACTAATAGAAGCTCATCCTACAAGTAAACTTTGAGGTCAATTATCTCGGTTTAAAAAAAATAAAAAAATTTGTCAATTGGTAAAATGTTGGGAACTTTACAAAAAAATTTTATCAGTTTACAATTGTTCGATATCTTTCATAGGAACCGAGATAATTGAGCACAAAGTGTATGTTTAGAGTGGGCTTCAATTAGAGCATTTACGCTGTTTTAGATATTTTTGGATTTGCACAGTTTTTTGGATTTGGTTTTTTCCACCGTACTACTAAAACACCGTGAAACCTGTATTAGAAGGGCCCCTTTATTAGAAGCGCCCCTCTAATAGCAGGGCCCTCCGAGAGGGGCTTGTTGCTCAGTTTTAGTGAAAGTGACTGGAAAAATAAAAGGGCCCTCTCTGATTGAAGGGCCCCTGTAACAGAAAGCCCGCCGGAGGTACGGTGGAACAATAGAAAGGTCGGCTCTTCTAAAACAGGTTTTACGGTAGGTTATATCAGTAAAATAAAATACTTCTGATTTTTTCGTGTGATCACTCCATTTGTATACCTACTAATATCCTCTCTGTCTTATGATTTTATGACTATCCATGCATGAAATTTCAGTACACTTCATGGATCACTTAAATATTTACTCTGACTTTATCCCTGGTCAGAATTAGGACATTGCCCTGTACCTATATTTCTTTTATATCCCAGTTTAATATATTTTATAGATTTTGTATTCTTCAGAATTCTCTTGTTTTTAATGAGCTCTTTTTGGAAAGAGCAGAAGACACAAATTCGTGTAGTTGAGGGAATAATAATATGTTCTAAGGGCGAAAAGCGACCAGATGTCTAAAGATACCAAAAGTGCTTCTTGAATCAAAAATTTCTCCTCTTTTTTGTTTTTCTCGATTTCTTATATTCCTCTTTTTCTCACCACAACCCACCCGCTTTATTGTTTTCTTTCGTTCGAGACTTTCTTCTTTCTTATTCTCTCAACCCATTTTCTTGAAATGGAAATGGAAAGTTGGATGTTGAAGAGCCTTTGAGGCAGCAGCTTTCATTCAATTCCAGTTCGCCTGTTGTTCAGAATTTTCGACGTTCGCAAACACTGAAACTTGGGAAAAGAGAACAATGCCAAAGGTAAGCGAATGTTTTGAATATCTGTGTGGCAGCTGTTATGGGATTAGGATTTATTATTATCAAGATTGTATGTGCAAGGTTTCCTAATAAACGATGTTGGGAAAGTTGAAGAAAAGAAAAGTTGGTCTACTAGAAGCAAACAATGAAACTATAACGGATTGTTTTTATTACTTTGTATATATATATACGAAGCCTAAATCTTCAAAACTAGGTTTAGTGCATAAAACACTTAATAATTTTTACAACAGTCTGCTGAGAACTTATAAATCGTAATACCTTGAAGCCTGTAATAGAAGGGCACCCATCGTTTAACATTGAACCAAAATTTCTCGGTTACTGTCAAAAACATCAAAAGTGTTAACTGATAAATTCTTTACCGTAATATCAAAAATATTTTTCAGTTTATACTTTCTTGATATCTTTCATATGAATTGAGATAAATAAGCTGAAACTTGATAAAGTGAGACCCTTCTTTTTACGGTATATTACTTTTTCGGGAGAGCTTTTCAGGGTGGCAAAACTCTCAAATTTAGATATGTGTACAATCTTCTAGGAAATGCTTAAATTTTTTGCTTTCTCGTTTCCTCAAAACACCACGAACACAATAGGCGATTTTCGGAACTTAGAAATTCTTGACGATTTTTAAGCCTACTTTTCCGAAAACCTTTTTGGTTAGTTTTCCAATTCCATAACTACTTAATTGACTATTGAATTATTGTCCCTCTACAATTGAATTATTGTCCCTCTACTGTAACTCCTCAATATCGTCAAAGTTTGATCCGGATCGGGTCCAGGCAGAATTTTCCATTAAAGAACCTCAAATAGTGTGAAGGCCCCCATGGTGACGTTTTCGGAAACATTCAACAAAATTGTTCAAATTGTTCAAAAACTATGCTATAATAGACAATAGAGAATTCGTCAAAAATAAGTCTAAAACTTGCAAAAAATTTCGATTCCTATTAGGAGCGGGGAGATGGCTAAATCGTTTTGAACATATTCGATAATTTATTTTTAGCGAGTTCTCAAGGAACCTTTCAAAACGTTCCCTAGAGAAATAAGTTTTCCCAAGGAACAATGAATATTGAAGTAACACTTTTTTTGAAGTTCACTTCTAGGAACCTTTCAAAGTTCTCGAATTTGTTGGCTTTTTTTGTTATTTGAAACTCGTTCTTTCCCACAAACTTCTCCTCGAAACGTCCCCCATCCCATTTCAGAAACACATTTTCTCATCAGAATAACATATGTGAAGTAATAATAAGTCTCAAAGACACATCTCTCTAGAGAAGATCCCTTGAGCTGATCTCCTACTCATATTTTATCCAGCTCTGTTTATTTTTCTTTCTAGTTTTGCCGCTCAGATAACCTGTCTCTTTAATAAAATTGGTTTCCTTGTTCGAACTTTTTTTTTGTTATCCAGGAGAAATTTCATTAGTGCCTAATTCACCAATCACAGACACAATCTAAAAGAATATTGAAAAGATTGAGTTCATATTTTTCTGTTTGCTGAAAAAAGAATAAATATCATTCGACCTATAGCAAGCAAGGAGTGTTTTAAAAACATAGATCTGAAGATCATTTAAAACCTATTTTGAAATGATTTTTGAGTTGGAAAAAAGTACCAAAAACCTGAATAGAAGAGTTGCCTAACTGTTTACTTTGAGCCAATTTATCTCGGTTCCTGTTAAATATATAAAAAAAGTTGTCAAGTTGCAAATTGTGCATCTTAAAATCACACATTTTATCAGTGAACACTTTTTCGATATCTTGTATATAAGCCAAAATGAATTAGATCAAAATTGACAGTGTGGAGGCCCTCCTATTACAGGTTGTACAGTAGTTAAAGATATTTAAAGTTAACAATCTTCATTTTAAAATGTTCGCTTTAGTAGTTTTCTCTTCTAAATATTGAGTGAGTATTTAGCTCTCTTTCCCCCGTTTCGTTTACTTCCTCCTAAAAACGCACAACCAGTTCAAATTACCCTCTCCGTGGCAACCAGTGGGACCTTCTCTCTCTCTAAAAGACTCTCCTTTCCTCTGTCATTATTTTTTCCTTCTTCGAGATCTTTTCTTTTCTCGTCATGTACACATTGTCTTTTCGAGCTACTACCAAACGAAAATTGTCATCGTCCACAGACCTCCTTTTTTCCAGAAGAAGAAGTGAAGCTTCAGAAGAAACAGAAGATATTTGTCATTGTCTTCTCTGTGTCTTTCTGAAATTCCATCTATTCCTTTTTCCATCTGTGAAAGGATCGACGGCTTCGAGTGATAATCGAATTACTGCCGGCTTCTGGTCCGCCCGTCTCATACATCTTTTCTTTTTGTTCCTTGCCAAAAAAAGAAGGTCCCACTCTTCTCGTTTTCTAACTAATCTACCCAGCTGTTTCTATTTCTGTCTTATTCTTTTCTTCCATAGACATCGTCATAATTATTATTTCTTCTTCTCATTTCAAAACGAAGAGAAATGCCGCTCGAATCAAGACTAAACATTCGAATTCCGAATGTTCGACGGAGACTTTCTCATTTTATGATCGAAGAAGTAAGTTTGAAGACTAAAGGTGCTCATAAATCTTTGAAAGTAGAAAAAGTATAAATCTGACAGTCATGTTAAATATAAATTGTGCTCAAGCACAGGCTCTCGGATTTCTCAGTCTGAAAGTTGAAATGAAATTTTGGAAACAAATTTTCCTTTTCCTCAAGAAAATGGTAAGTTTTCACCATTGAAATTAAACAACACTAATTTTTTAAAATTTGTTTTTAACTTCGGGTACCGTCCTTGCAAGATTGAAAGCTGAAAATTGATATAAATCTTAAAAAATTCTTTGGATCAAAAATAATGTTGAGGACCAAACAAAAATCTAATGGCCTAAACAAGTTCTGAGAGCCCAAAAAATTCTGAGGACCAAAACCGACAAGAGCTAATTCTTTTATACACCTACCTATCTGCTACCGTATCTCGCTTAGTTTTTGTTCAAACACGGTGAATCTTGTATTTTTGAGTTCAGCAAAAAAGAGCTTCAAAATAAGTATAATCGTGCCAAGGTGTTTTCTTTTTTAATTCAAAATTTCAGTTTAAAGAGGCAGAGACCTATCGAAAACAACATTTTCAAAAATAGGCCATGTTTATAACCATTTTGAAGTGCTTGGAAAGCGTAATCCAAAAATCAATTTTTCACAAGATTCGAATCAAAACTAAGTGAGTCTTACTCCGAATTTTTTAAAACTAGTCAGTGTTTATACTTACTTGGAAGTTCAATCTGAAAAATTGGAAAATCTCCTTTAATAACCTTCCTTTTGAAACCTTTGTTTTTTTCCTGTCTTAGCATCAGAAACTTTTAACAAATTTAGTAAATTTAGATTTTTTTTCAAAAAAAATCACATCCAAGAATCCACTATAGCTCTAGAAATCCCGAAACTTCGCCGGACACTTCCTTCTCCACCCCAGATGTACCTAATTTCACAAAGTAGAATTTTTCACGTCTGAACTAATACTAAGCCGATTGTGCCAGCTTCTTACGACTCCTCCATCCGTCGTCCGTGGTTATATGTACATTGTCTGCGTATACCTTTGTGCTCATTTTCTCTCTCTTTCGTTATATACGCAAGAATGTCTTGAGAAGACGTGACTAACCTCTTTTCTCTCAATCTCACACACTTTTTTGCATTCCATTCTCGTTTTGAAAAAAAAAACGGAAAGAATTGATTTGTGTTTGAGTTTCTTTTTCCACAATGGTAGCCAACGGTTGTTTTACATCACCTCGAGGCCTTCTGAACCAGAATTCTTTTCGCAAGGTGAGTCCATTGGCTGATTGGCTTTTTGTGTTTCATGGTCTATACGTAGAATTTTCGATTTCTTTCTTTCCGCCACATGTTTCAATTTTCTGGCTCCGCGGAGCTCTTTTGTGTATGTGTTTCCACAATTTCTGACACTTGTCAATTTGTAATTCATCGTCGTTGTGGTGGACGACAGAGTGTCGAAAAGAGTCATATTCGGGGGGAGGGTCCCTGCGACCCATTCATTCTACACATTCGTTTCTCTTTTTTCGTCTTCCCCTTTTGTTTTTCAATTCACTCAACAGCTCCTCCTCTCGAATCTAGTATTTTCGACATGAATCTGGATTTTGTTTGCACAAACAGAAGTACTGAAAATCGGCTGTTAGTTCCGAAGGTAGGCTTACATTTATGAACTTGGTTAGGGATAGAAGAAGACTAAAAGTTGTTTCCTGAGAGGACCCGGCCTGAAAAAATTAAATAAGAGAGAAGTCAGTGTTCGGAATTCAAGAAGACCAACCGTTCATCATAAATTTTTTCACCTGTAAATCATGAAGAAATGGGAACTTCTAGACCTTTTTTGAAAATCAACGCCTGATTCTAATTAGTACCAAAACCAAAGTCATCTACTTCTGGTCATAAGTTGAAAACGTTTTGACTTTTGGACAAATATTGGCCAGGTTCTGGTCGGAACTTGCCCAAGACGGCTGTGCCCCGGTCAGATTTTAAGTCTGTCTGACTTCGGACGGCTTTAGTAGCGGTCTTATCTGGAATCTAACCAACCTCTGACCTGAAGTTGCCGGCAACGCCCAAGTACTGCGAAACCAATATTCAGAACTGTTGTAAACTGAACTCAGACACTTCCTCTTCGTTTTTCAATGAATATTAAAACTGAAAGATGAATTTACATTTCTTCAACTAACTCTTGCTAATGAATCAGAGATAGTAGAAAATGTCCAACTCTGTTGGTCTGGAATGTATAAAAATGTATTTTGCACTTGTCGATCTGGAGGTGTCAGTCATTAGAAAAAATTTTTTAATCTGCATTTTTTTCCAAAACTGATTTTTGAAACATGATTCTTTGAAATATCATCACTAGGATAAACTGCGATCTCTAGTTGTCTTCATGTACAAGTTTTCCAATTAGTTTGAAAAAAAAGTTTTCTTATTTCCTCTAATAGAAGCAAATACAAGTCGACCACTTTGAGGTCAATTATCTCTATTCCTTTGGAAGATATTGAAAGTTTGTCTACTGGTAAATTATCTTCCTTATATATAAAACGCTAGAGGCGTCTGTCCGTCATAATGTCCGTCTGTCAACTTTTGAAAAACTTGAAAAATAAATATAGATTTACGTGACCCATTTAGAAAAAGGGAAGAGCGAAGCTACAAACCAGTAAAAAACTAGATTGAATCGCGCTGAAGGCGCACCAGCCAGCTGGTTTATCATAATATCACCAATATTTTAATAGTTGACAAAATTTTAATGTCTCTTATGGGAACCTAGATCATTGAGTTCAAAGTTGACGGAAAGCCTGAGCTTCTGTTAGTGGAAATACGTTACGTGATAGATCCAAATTGATTTTTGGAGAGCACATCAACTAGGAGGAAAACAAAAAGTGGGAAGAACCAACTGGGAGGAAAAATGGGCGGAGCCGGGGGCGGAGCCGGGGGCGGAGCCTAATTTGCAACCCTGGCACGGTTTTGCCGCATGGTTTATT